CAAAGATTAGAAAGCAGCAAGTATCTAGGAGAGGAGAATCTTTCCCCAGTTATTCTTGATTCAAGAAAGTCAACAGCATTGTTTGCACCCTGTAAATTCCTCTCAGAACCCATCATTAAAAACCATTCAGACATGAAATCAGACAGCGCTGAGGTGGCGGCGGCCTGGAGGTGGATTGTGGCAGAGGAGAAATGGACAGATTGCTGTTTCTTTGCCAGCTGGATGAGAACAGTACCTATGACAAAGAGGCCATGCCTTGATGGCAAGTACGCAAACAGCTATTTATTGAACAACCCCACATCTCAATAAGACATTTTAGTGCCAAAGCAATCACTGTGTGGGGTACAGCTCAATACAGAGCAGGTAATCCTGCCTCAGGCAGAGCATAGGTAAATGACATAAGCATTTCTAAAGTCGATTTTTATTATTCCATCGTTACAAGAGCACTTGCAGTGCTACGCAATGGTAAATATATATCAGTCAGTAAAACAATCACACCACAAGTAACAATTGGTGCTACGCAATGGTAAATATACATCAGTCAGTAAAACAATCACACCACAAGTAACAATTTACAGAAAGAAATAAAATATACACTTTTTTTAAAAAAAGTAACACTGCACAGTTATACTCCATTTCAAAAACTTTTCAAGAAAATGTTGCAAAAACTGCATTGACATAATGCTCATTAGAGATTGAAAAATCTGTTTAATAAGTTAACTGGCTAAACATTATGGGGGCCTGTGGCGTGGCCAGCTTAGCCCCCCTGCCATGGGCGGGGACTGTTCTGGCTGGGTGGTGGGCCCAGCCCCATTCCTGTTGTGGGTGGGGGCTGCTCTGGGTAGGCTGGAGCACCCCCCATTCACGTTGGGTTGGGGATTCTGCTGCAGTCTGGCCAGGTTGCGGTTAACCATAACCAATAAGAATCATGCAGTAAGGGTGATGCTTACTGGTTAACCATTCACAGCCCTAATGCCCATTTTTATAGCTAACTCCGGTTCCAGCTGTAGGACACAGAACAGGCACATTGGTGGTGAACAAGTTACTTCCTATGACACACGGCCGTGAAAGTTCAGCTCATTGAAGCTTTTCCCCACTGTCCATCATGAAAACAGCGAGAAGCATCAGGTTTGTGCCCCCAAATGGATAAACTCCAAGTGAACTGGCAGCTTCCTTCAGTTCTCACCATGTGGTGCGGATGAGATATGCTGCAAGCTTCACAACAAGCAGCTGCACTGAGTGCTATTGCTGGAATACCAGTTACTGTGTCAGTCCATCTCCTTCGGCATAGCAGTTATACACTGTGCTCTTTGCTGTTTTCTCTGGAGGTAACGCAATCTGGCATCCTGGATTGATTTATCATCATTCCTTTTCTCCATCTTCTTGGCAGAGTCATCTGTTAGTCTTGCTGCAGAAAAACAAAAGATTCCAGCTGGGTCATAAATGCCACTTCCACCCCCGACTGCAGAATAACAGGGTTAGTGAATTGACTAAAACCAACAGAAGTTCACATTTTGCAAATGCTGCTCTCTGCCATGCCAATGAAATGATCCAACAATCCCCGGAAGAGACAGTTTGCAAAGTAACTAGGACATCCTTTCTACTGAAAAACTGAAAAGAGTCTCAAAACAAATATACACTATATCCAAATACACTTTAAGTAATAGAAAAATCATACCTTCAACCCTCTTGTCAATTTTTGCACTTGTGATCACCCCCAGTATATATCTGGACTATATCTCTTTTACAATAACTGAGCCTTTGGAACTCCAGTTCTATTAATTTGTTACTTTTCTATGCTACTTCTTCCAAAAATACACAAGGGCTTAGGAAAACAATGCCTTTCTGGATTTTCTTGAAAGGAAAAAAAGTGGTAGTAGAGATAGAAGAATCCCTCTTCTAGGACTTCTCTAGTCCTAGAGAAATTCAAACTCTCTCCTGCTCCCACTGAGCTCTCTCAGATCATGGCAGTGGATGTTTTCACCTGCCTCAGTATTGGAGAAACATGAATTTGTCGTAATATTAAACTATTTTGATTCATAGTTCCATTTTTAATTATGACTCAATCAAGGAAAGTATTGAAGGGAAAATGTGCTAGCTTGGAACCTGAAGTTCCCTATTTATCTTGGTCAGGTACAGCAATGGAAACAGCAGTTCACAGTTCCCTCACAGTGCCCTGCCAGTGTGTCTCACATCACTGTTTTGAAGGAGGAGTTCAAGGGTGAAAGGGCCCTTTGAGTAAGTGATTTCTCTACTGAACCCACTGACAAAAGAATTCAGAGAATGTCAAGCTGCTGAATCAGGTAATTTGCACCAGTTTAATTAAACAGGCCATTATTTTAAAATTATAATTGTTTAAATTATAGATATTAAATATTGCTAGATGTTATTTTGCTGACAATGCATTTGTGATGATCTCTCCCCCACACATTATAGATGGGAAAGAAACAGGTAGCAACTCTTGGAATTTCTTTCCGACAATATCAGGTTAGCAAATAATTATACTCTCTACAGGAGAGGGAAAATACCTTCTCCAATTTAAAGTGTCCATGTTTAAATTACATTGCTTCCAGTTACAAGAGAGTGCACAGCTAATGTTACTGGCAGAAGTCAAAAGGGATGTGGCCAGGTTAAGGGGCATGGCCAGTATGAAGTCACTAGCCTAGATGTTGAAATATTCAGTATAAATTACATGCCATCACTCTCTTATTCACACCCCCTATCATGGCTAAAGCAGGCAGGAGTTAGCTTTCCTTAAACCTGAACCAGAAATTAAGTCCAGTTTACTCACCAGATTGTCGTTTAAGATCTTCCTTGTTTTGCCATTTGGTTATTTCCTCCTCAGTCACCTCTTCCCGTGCCACGCTGCTCAGTTCGTACACATCAATTTCATGTAGCTTAGGCAACAAGTCTTTGACCCACTCATAGCGAATAGGACACACTGTCCTCACATAAATTTTAGATGTGACCAGGACATCATGGAAGATGATCCATTCAGGTTGAGGTTCCTGGTCATGAAGCTAAAGGTAAAGTTATGCATGTTCTTTCAGATTACTACTTGGGATGTTAAAATGTGTAACCAATGAAAATTTCAGAAGTTACATGTTGATACATGGGGGAGGGAGGCAACCCATGGAACCGCCTGCTTCTTCCTCCCCTCAGAGTGCTCCCTCTGTATCAAAGGCAGCAGGAAAGGGGGGGACTGAGCATGACCATGAAACTTAGCCATGTGCATGTTTATACTTTCACATCCCTAATTACCACTTTTGATTTTTTTTTCCCCAATACATGTGCTTTATAGATTAACAACAGAAAAAAAAAGATATATTAATTCAGATTCTTGTCACCAAATGGTTAACAGCTAAACCCTTTTGTCCTCTTCTCCCAATTCCTTTTTGAAAAGTGAGATTTAATCCTTCAGGTGTTCCGTTCCTATAACTTCCTCTTCTGAATGCTGAAATGTCCAATATTTAACCACAGACTAGTTCAGAACCTAGAGTTGCCTTCAGTTACTTTTATCAATAATGAACTACAGGACTATGTAGCACTTTAAAGACTAACAAGATGGTTTATTAGATTATGAGCATTCTGGCCCACGAAAGCTCATCATCTAATAAACCAACTTGTTAGTCTTTAAAGTGCTACATAGTCCTGTATTTTGTTTCAGCTACACCAGACTAACACGGCTACATTTCTATCACTATTTTATCAATAATGTTTTTCATTTCTAGAGCATCTTTGAGTTAAGGATCTCCAAGTACTTCTGTCATATAAATTGATTCATCCCTTTAACATTTCTCTGAAGGAGGTTAATATTATCCCCTTGTTGCAGATCGGAAAAACTGAGGTATCGACATTAGTGACTTGCCCAAAGTTACACAGAAATATCGGTGAGAACCAGAACACACAGCTACTATCTTTTCCAGTTCTGAGCTACAGTCTCTAGATCGTGTTGCCTTCATAAAGCAAAAATTTGTACAGATTCTGATTTGGCAGCTCCCTAATGAAAGATGCGGTACAGGCTAGTGCCTTACATTACTGAGGCTATGCGCAGTATTTCACCTGGCAAGAGGTTAATTTCTGTCTTACACCAGGAATAAACAAATCAAACATCAAGGAAACAATCTGCATAACTGGCTTTATTTTTCCATTTACCTGGAAAAAAAAACAAAAAACCACCCCCTCCACATACACACCTACGAGCAAAAGTAACTTACTGCTGATGAAGGATGAATATGGACTATGCTACCATGTCCGTCCATCGTGCAGAAAGTCCTGCCTGCAGATCTAAAAACACAGGGAATCTATTTATATACATGGGCACATGCTCAGCTTTGATTAGACAGCAACTCAGCCTGAAGGCAGCATAGCAGAAGACACGCCCGCTGAGGGGGACAGGGAGAGGAAAGGGAGCAATTGCCGTGGGGCCAGGCGATAGAAAAGGGCCCAGCGCTCCCAGCTGCTATTGCCAACACTGCAGCAGCAGCAGGAGCCCCTGACCCCTTTGAAATGCCTCCAGAGCGCTGCTCCATGCGGCTCTGACAGCTAGAGAAGAGGTGGACATGCCGCACTCTGGAGTGCAACTAAGAGCTGACTTGACAAATGTATTTTTAGATTTCCATTTTGCTAACAGACGATCATTCTGACATTTATGAATCTTAGCTAGGCCTCCTCATATCCCTGCAAGGTGGGTAATTAACGGTTATCCTCCATATCACATTTCACAGATATGGAGCCTGAAACACCAAGAAGTTAGTGATTTTGGACAAATCACTTAACAGAGTCAATGGCAGAGCTGACAAATGTATTTTTAGATTTCCATTTTGCTAACAGACGATCATTCTGACATTTATGAATCTTAGCTAGGCCTCCTCATATCCCTGCAAGGTGGGTAATTAACGGTTATCCTCCATATCACATTTCACAGATATGGAGCCTGAAACACCAAGAAGTTAGTGATTTTGGACAAATCACTTAACAGAGTCAATGGCAGAGCAAGTCCTGGAAATTACGACTCCTGACTCCCAGTTCTGCCCTCAGACACCTCCTTGTCTGCTGTAACAAGTGAAGCTGACCCTTTAATAAACTGTGGTACAGGTCTGCTGTGACTATCTGTTTTGATTTAGAATTACATATTAACAAATGCAGCAAATAGTTTCCATGCAATACCCCAAATTCCGCTCTTTACCTTCTGGCTACATTGGCGAAGTACCCCGTGCACAGACATCTTTGGAGTATTTCATTTCTGGAACCATCAAAACGCTCTCTTGGGAAGTCTGACAGCTGCATAAAGAGCAGCACAAAATGGATTAGTGTCTGTGTTAAAAGGAAAATTGGTCAGACTTCCCCCGCTCCCCCCTCAGGAGCTTAAAAATCTCATTGTCTTTTACACTTCACAGTCAACCATTTTGTATGACCTTCCTTTTGTCCGTTGCTACCACTACACCACATACTAGGGGACTGGCTACAATGCAGCATGTAGTTATTAAAAAAAAAAAAAACTAAGCAGATTAGTTTTGATTCGGACCAAGAGGGTAACCCTCCAGTGAAGACTCCGTATTGCAGTACACAGCTAACCTTGGCATAAAGACAAATGCCATTAAGGTACATTTAAGAGGAAGTTTGTTCACCTGTTTAAGCTTACTGGTTATTTCCTGAAGTTGTGTGTCCACACTAAAAGCAGATTTTAAAGCCCTGAAGTGGATCCAGTGTTTCTGGCACCACACTGCAGGGGACTTGCTGGGAATAGAGAAACTGGTGTTATAATAAGGGCTTTCATAAGTGGAAGGCAGCAAGTTGCTGCTGTTTTTTTATTATGGACATAAAAAAAGGCAACATATTCAGATCTTTTGTAAATTCAGAGAGCAGATTCTTTGCACTGGACATACAGTCTGCAAAAGCCCCCAGTTTGGCATGAGCACATATACATATAGATGGGCTTTAGGGAAGAAAAGAACAACAGAAGTCCCAGTTGCTATCTTTTGTGTACTGAACAAACAACTATGTACCTGGATTTGCACTGCTCAAAGATGTTCAAAAGGGTTGCAAAATCATTGCATCCTCCGGCCTGTAATGACAGCTCCTGGTGTCGGAGTTCTGCTTCCTTTTGTTTCTGAAGCTCAGCTGAGGAAATACCAAGCTCTATTTCACTTTCACAAATTACATTTTCATTTGTCACTCCTACCTTTGTTTTCTAGAATCTCTCTCAAGGTGCAGCTTACAGTCGTGGCCCTTTATTTAAATTATTTTAAGACTCACTCCCCCCGCTTTGCCTCTCTCACTCCTGAGAGCATGAAGCTGGTATTAAAGCTGTGATTAAAACTGTCAGCCAGCACTGGAGATGCAGCTTTCAAGCAAGTGCTCAACTCTTTCCTCGGGAAAGGTTAGTGAGTATTGCTCACTCTCAGGATCAACTCTGAGTGGTCATGTTGCATGACAACATTCAAATACACAGAAGCCACAGAGTGAAAGTTTCTAGAAATTAAATGAGTGGAAGATTTGATCATCTGAGCAGCAGGACCTTACATTTCAGAAGAGACAGAAAAAACAGGACCTGTTGCTGCAATTCATGGGCAGTTTCTTTCGCCATGTTATCATGAGGTCCAGATAACATGGTGATGGACAAATATAAGAAATCAACAGTTTGGCATAATACTCAACCCATGAGCCTTTTGAAGGACCCTTCAGGTAACTGCAAGGAATGTGCCATGCCAAAGAACCTGACCTCCAATTCTGAACCCAAAGGATTCCACCCCAATTAAAGACAGAGATGGGCAGCTTTATGCCAATGTACTATGCTACGTACTTCCCCAGGCCACAACCACACCTATATCCAGATATTTAATTTAAAAAATATGTATCTCCACTGAAGTCAACAAGAGTACTCATGCACTGAGCTTTAAGCACATGAATAATTTTCAGGACCTGAGCCTGTGTCACGATCCCTTGTTTCCAGATTGAGGGGCTGCTGTTTAACCCGGACTGGAGTGCTGCACTGGTTTGTTAACTGGCTGAGAAGGAAACATGAGCAAGCTGAACCAGCGGGAGAATGGAAAAGCAAAATCAAGTTGGTGGGAGTGCAAAGATCTGCATAAAACTATCCAGCCGCAAAAATCCTTTGAGATTCAGCACCTTAAAAGGGACCTGTCTGAACTGCCTTTTGCTGCTGTACCAACACAGGCAAGTTAATACATTACAGAGATAACCCGCCGCTGACAAGGAGCATGAGCAGAAAGGGCAAAGGTCTCCCCAAGACTGCGCTACACAAACTTTTTTTAAAAAGCGAGTGAGCTAGTGAAAGGCTCTGACCAGAGAGCCCAGCAAAACTCAATCTTCTGCTTCGTTGCAGAATTGACATAAGGCCAGGGTCAGCACTGCAGTCTCCCTCCCCCCTGCTAATAATCCTGCTGCAGTAGGGTCACCTCTAGGGCAAGTTCATTCTTTTAATCTAGTCAGCTCTTGGTCTCTCACAGCAGACTGACCAAAAGTGGATTCAGGTAGCATCTGCTGTGGTGTTATTCTTGTTACGATGCTAGATCTGAGTTACTGCTAAGAGCAAGAGCATCTTTCCACAGTGACACTTCCCACGCCGCTACAGTGTGTTTGTGTAATATGCTGGTTTAGGGTGTGCAGCCATGTCTCCCTCTAGTGACTGGCCTAGTTGAACATGTAAGCATGCTCCTTATAGACCACTCACGGAGTCTCTCTTTTAGCTCAAGTGATAGCAGCTTGTGTTCAGCAGAGCCAACAGCCTCCAAGGGCCCCTGGGCAACATGGAGGAGGGCCTAGCTCTGCGCTCCTAGAAGGGGTGGGGCTGAGGGCAGAAGGGACGGGGCCGACGGCAGCTAGCACTCATCACTGCCCCGAGTGTGGCACAATTCCCAGCCCTTAGCAGTGCTCGGCGTACGCAGCCTGGCAGTGTTGGCAGCCAGAGCCCCATACTCCTTTGAATTGCCAGGGCCTTTGCCCTCCCCTGTTGAATGGAAAACTAGTGAAGAGGAGGAAGGAGAAGGAGACGACAGAAATGCATAAGGACATTAAGGCCAAGTTCTCTAACTGAGCACTGTGTGCTGATCAATCACCTCCTCCCACGCATTCTGCTCACGGTAGAATCAGAGCCGGCCCAAGGTACGGGCCAACCAGGCTACTGCCCAGGGCACCCCACTGTAGGGGGCGCCGCGTGGGGCTGCCGGGCTGGGTGGAGGCGGCACCACACATGTTCCGCATGCCCGGGGGCGGGGCCACACATGCGCCGGGCATCCGGGGCGCACGAATGGCTCGGGCCAGCCCTGGGTAGAATCCACAGCCTAAAGCTGATCTGTTTCTGGAGAATGGGGCTTCCTACCTGGTCGTATGAAGACATTTTCCACAGACAACATCGCAGCTATGGGAAGCAACAGATCTTCGCAGTCAAGAGAAGCTGCCTTTATGACAGCACAGGTCAAGTTTGGAGGAAGAGGAAATTGCACCAAAAACTCTCCCAGTCTTGTCACGTGGCCTCTCCTTATTGGGAGGAAAAGATTCAAACATCAGATGGAACAAACTCAATCTGTAAACCCAGAACATAGGTACAAGTCCCAAATAGCCAGGACATCTCCAGCAGAGCCTCCCCTGGCTCTTATACAAACACACACTCCCCCAAAACCCAGGAGAGACAGAGGACTGGCAAATCTATACAGCAGATGATTCTCTAGCAGCCTAAACTCTCTCTCATCTATCAGTGCGCATCAGGAATGCAGCATTAAGGTGAAAAAGTCTGAGACGCATATAATAAGAGGTGAGTGTGCATCTGCCATCAGTATTACACAGGCCCCATTACTGTTGCATCGGAGACTCTCACACACTTTAGCATGTTCATCCTCACAACAGCCCAGCTATTTTCCCCCATTTTACAGATGAGGAAAATGAAGGAGAGCAAGACTAAGTCGTACAGGGAGATCTGGGGCAGAGCAGAGAACTGAGTCCAGATCTCGAGTCCCAGTTAGTGCCCTCGCTAGTGGCCCATCCTTCCTCTTGAATCAGAACGTTCTATTCAGACTGGAAAATACTTAAGTTCATGGGCAAACTAGGATATGTGCTCTGCTGCTGAGCACAGCAATCTAGTTTATGTGCAGCTCATTAATAGCAAGACAACATTAAGGCACAAAAAGGATTTTTGATAGGTACTAAGGTTACAAGATAAAAAATTTGTTTCTGTCCTTTTCACCTGTCAATAGCATCACACTGGTAAAGTTGTTTAAGAGCCTCTAAAATATGCCTCTCTTCAGGGCGGTCCAAATAGGGGAACCTATAAACAGAAAGGCAGAATAAATTCCACTGCTTGGGCTCCAAGTAGTCTGTTACAATTGTAAGTGTTTCTATTACAATACTCCTAGAATCCTTCAATACAATACCCCACGTATATAGTTTCACATTTCTCTTTAATATAGTAAATAGCTTCCAGATCCCAAAGGAGCTGTGTCTGCATACATACATATATCTATATTTACACATGCTCCTGCACCTGGGACCCTAAGTTAATTATTCAAAATAAGTCTAGTTTTAGGCATATAAACCTCAACGGCATTGCTTTAAAACACTAACAACGATTACTGCTATTTCAGGAGCTAGCTTTGCCAGATCCCAAAGAAATCAAAGCAATGTAATGCTGGAGATTTTTCGGCAAATGACAGAAGAGCTAACGTGGAACAGTCCCATTTGTCCTGATACCTAATCCTATTCTTGCTACCCCTAGGCCATAGTATATTCCCCTTTCTGGTGCCAACACTCTAACATGCATTGATAAGAGTCAATGCAGCGAGATTACAATTCCCTTCCCCAGGGATTACCTTATGACATCATGTACAGCAAGGCACTTCAAGGTCAAGATGACAGATGTAAGACTGGTTCTCTTAATCTCTGGGATCATGTGATCAGGCATACACTGACCCCAGAATTCCTTGCTGTACACCCTGTAGCATTTTCCAGATGATGTCCTGCCAGCTCGGCCTGCTCGTTGCATTGCTTCACTCCTCCAAAAATAAGAAAAATAATATTGTCATCAAAGTAGCAAAGCACACTACACTTACGATCAATTATAGCAATTTGTGTGCCCCTGGTGGAAAGATTTAATAAGGAACCTTGCTATGCAAAATGGAACAGTGTGAAGGAATGATATTGGGCAAAACCTCCTTGAACTTCTTGGAATTAGTGGTGCTCAGTGTTGGAAAGAGGATATATAAATCATTGTTCAGATTACTGATAACACATGGTGAGTTCTTCCTCACTGCTCATGATTAGAATTAAAGTATCATGCTCTACTAAAACGTTTTATTTACTGCCCCTGATGTTTTCTAAAGACTGATTTCATCAAGCTGCAAATGAACGTTAATTGTGCTTCAGTGCCTCCCAAATCTCTCTTCTCTTCTTCATAAATTGCAGTCACCTCATTTAAAGCAACTTTCAAAGGCATTTTAAGAACTTCTCAAACCAAGAAGTAAATCACTTTTCTTCTAACTTACTTTGAAATAGGAACCACTTCCAGTATGTCCAAACCAACCCTGGGGTTATGATTTAACTGCTTCACAAATCCACTATCAACGACATATCTGAAAAAAAATTAAAATATGAGATATAGTAAGAGGGACCTATTTTGGGCAGTGATTCCTTATCCTCAGCCCAAAGCAAGATGTCATATAGAACTGGATAGGTCTGTAAATGTAGAAGATAGTTGGACTCAGCTGGCCAATTACTGAACTACAATGGAATGGGCCTTGAGGAAATTCCTCGTGTAGAACCCATCTACACAGAAATTAAACTCATTTAATGGAAGCAAAGTATTGAGTTTGGTTTCGAAATAAGATGAAATGATATTTAAAAAATTCTTTAAGCCTATTTAAGAGTGCCCAAGCAAAGGGGATGCGACAATTTCTTAAACTGATTGAGAAACATATTTCTGGGTCTACAAAAAGAAGAGTCACTTGATGCAAAAGGCAATGTACTTATTCAGTAGGATCAGAACAACAGAAGGAGGAAAAAATGGATGAGGTTTTTCAATTTTAATGCAACTCTGAGTCATTGCCTTGGTTACAGCTTTTACCAGGGATAGGAAATAACTACCTGATTCCATCAATTGTCAGAGAAGTTGCAGCAACATTTGTGGCTACTACACATTTTCTGATGCCCGGTGGAGAAGGCAAAAATATTCTTCTCTGCTGATCTAGAGAGAAAGATTCCATCAAGTAATGTCAGGGTGGCACAAAAGTCAAATTCCATCTCTAGAAAAGGACAAGATTACCCACTAAAGACAACAAATTACGGAGGTGAGCCAGGACAAGAATTTCAAAACAAATACTGCTTTAAATGTGCCTTTAATATACATGTCAAGAATGACATCGCCTGTTTTACTGTGAGTTCCTTAAGAAAATCTCTAGCTTAAGTGCTTTTAAGTGCAGGCCTTTTGGACAGCTCTTGTGCAAGAGAAATACAGAGGTAGGAAACTAAGCAAGATGCCAGCTCTAAATGGAATGTTTAAGAAGGATTTAAAGCATGTTAAGAAACAATGTGAAGTCTAAGTAACCAAACCAAATGGAGATCAATAGAATAAGTTTCCCACTAACTTAGTAAAAACCTCAAAATACCTTACTGCAGGTTAGGACAAGATGGACTGGTTGAGTAATAAACACATGTCCCTCTTTCTTATTTAGGATATTTCCAAAGGCACAGATGGGAGTTGTACATCTAATTTTCCTTTGCGCCTTTGAAAATCTTACTGTAAATTCATATATTTATACTTAAATTGAAAGTTCTTTGGGGGATGGTCCATCTTTTTGTTATGTGTTACCAAATACAATGGCTCTCCTAGGCACTAGCACAATAATAAAATAATTATGTCTTTCAAGCACTATCCTAGTATCTTTGGTGTTATAAAAATAAATAACTCCTCTCTCATACAAGCATTTGGGGAGGGAGGTTTGCATCCTCCCAACATGTTATCAGCCAATATACTCTCTATTGAAGTTGCCCGGCTATGAAATTGCTGACCTGCTTGTCTCATGTGCATTACTTCTGCCTTTCACCATTCTTCATATTTCACCCACACAATTAATACCACATTCAAGATCATCTGAAAACACGTGCCTTTTATAAGAGTCACAAAACCTTTGTTTTTAAGGTCTTTAAAACTAGCATGTACCTTATTAGGCAGTGACACTGCAGACTAACTTAATTCAATAATTGTATCTTCTATGTAGAGTACCACCACATTCCGTTGTATGTATACTCTTATTGCACACATCATATTGGCAACACTTGTGTTTTAAAAGGTAACTTTTGATTAAAATTAGTTGGAGCAACGCAACTGAGCAATTAAGTCATATCCCTTTGTAACAACTACCAAACATATTTTAACAGAACACGTGTCTCATCTCACCATAAGAAACATTATCCCTAAATTGTATGTGAAACTTTTAAAATGGATGAAAGCAAACTCTGTACTGAGAAGGAAAGAGACATTCTGGCACTCAACACTCCCTCTAGCCAATTAAAAAGCAGAGTTAACGAGCTTTAACAAGAATTCCATGCAGTCCTCAGATGGAAGGACACAGTTGCTATAACAGGAATCCTTAGGGCAAGTATGATGCTCTAATCGTAGCTAGGGAATCCTCAGGCTTCTAGTTATGGCATTAGAATTTTCCCTGCTGGGAGCAGAAGAACGCACCAGCTTTACAAGAGAAGTAATAAGTTATTTTCAGTACAGTAATTCCTCATTTAACACTATAGATGCGTTTCTGAAAATGTTCGTGCTAAGCGAAAATGTGCTATGTGGAGTCAATTTTCCCATTAAAAAGAATGGATAATGTGGGGGTTGCGTTTCAGGTGGTGGTGGCAAAGTCAACTTTTTGTTGGTGCTCAGTAATCAACATCAACATCAGATATCTAGCAATACAAATCACCGCGGATTGTTAAAACACAAAGATAATCACTTCTCCAGTGAGCGAGTGGAGGAAAGCTGTGACCACGTGTTCATCTGCTCATGCGTATGACCACTGTTTTCATCAACTTATATCACGGCACGAAGTAGTCCACCACTTGATTATTTTTATGTTATTTTGCGGACGGTCATGTTATTTGAAAAAATTCCCTAAAAAAAAATCGTGCTATTGCGAAAACGTGTTAAGCGGGCACATGTTAAATGAATAATTACTGTATAGGAAAGACAACATGTCACTATGAAAAAGTACTGACAGACTATTTAACAGCTTTGTTTGCCAACTGCTATTGTGAACCAGTACAGAAAACAATTCTTTTGTTAGAGAAAACAAATATCTTTTCCTATTGAGGCTGCAAGGGGAATTTCAGAGGCAAATTTCATCATCGGTGCTGAAGTTTGGTCAGGAGACAGTAAATTATCATCAACACTACTATGCTGTTTTTAACACTCATCAGAACTTTGGATTTGGGTACAAACCGAAAGACTGAGTTTCAACATAGTATTCGCTTTCTATGCTGAGACTGTCGTTCAGGACTAATATGGAAAGAAGGGCACTGCCTTTTAAGCCAACGCTGCCACTTCCAGCAACACACGGATTTTATTTCACAGTCCCCAAGCAAGAACTTGCCAGGTCAGATTATGATTAGCTTGTAACAACTCGCTCTTGAACAGGTAAACAAAGGGCTGGGCTGTTTCCATCGAAAATAAAGATATTTGACCAGGATGCCACATATAACACTTAACTGTAGGGATGTTACATTTCGATGAATTAACTAATTGAATAGTTGATGTGATTTCCATCGACTATTTGATTAGTCAATAAGGACTAGTGCGGCGTTCCGCCTTTGAAATGTACAAGAGCCCCAGCAGGGACTCTTGTACATTTCAAAGTTGGAATGTCGCACTGTGCCCCTGCCCTCTCCCACAGAGCTGGGGGAACTGGCTTTTAAGCCGGCTCCCCCCAGCATCCCCTCCTCCTCTCCCCCCCTTTGCTGCCTCTTTGTGATAGAGACCTAGTCAACTAGTGTATCGACTATCTGATAAGCTTCTGCTTACATCCCTACTTAACTGCAGCTAAGTTTTGCATGAACTAAAAATATATTGATTTAATTCAATAAGCCTTACCTGTTGGCATCGATCCATACAATGGTAAGATAAGCAAACCTTCAACAGAACAATCTTGCACATCATAGCGGTAATCAATAGATTCTGCTTTCTGGAAAAGCAAGTCACAAGTTCTTTCTATCTCAAATTGACCTAAAGCAAAGTACAGAAGCACTTGAAATGTAACGAGGCGTCAACCTGGTTAGTTTGCAACAGACCTACACAATGTGGTCTTTGACACATATTATGGAGATGTTTATACAAATGGCAGAGTAACGTTTCCAATTTTTTCAAGCTGGGGTTTCTGCTTAGGATTTTCCTGTGTAACCGTGATGGTTTACATATGTATTTTGTATTTAGATTCATTAAGTATTTCAGCAACCTGAATTATATATTAACTGACTTTTGGCCAGGGGGATTATTTAGGGAGCTTCTCTTTTTATGGAAGACAGCAAGGAACACTTCTGCTGTACAAATATATAATGCGCTGTTTCATTCTTCTTCATGAACTCAGAAAAAACAGCCTGCAGTTTATCTTCTCTCCCACATTGGAAAGAACTGATCAACATGATTAGTGGGGTTGTTTAAAGCCCCTACTGAAATCAGGGAGAGGTTCTGGTTCACACGGACTGTAAGACCAGGTCCTTGGAAGGAAACTTACAGTCATTTTTGTCATTCTTCTCACATCGCATAAAACAAGATTCCAGAATCTTTTACAAAGGCAGAAGGGTGAACGTATAACTAGATTTGGTTTATTTTCAGCTTTTTGGCTGAGTCTTTATTATGTAATATCATCTCTCTCAAGGGACTACATGCTGCCCTGGTAGGGGGCTGGATTCTGAGCTTGTTGTTCTGTACTTTTACAACTATTAGTGACCAATGTCATCACACAGTCCAAATTTGGGAAGACTCTTGGTTGGGTTTGTAAAGGAGTAGGGAGGTCGTTATGGCATCTTTCTCCTGACACATTCGGATAGGACAGAAAACATCAGGAACTGAGGTAATGTCAGAGGTGTATAATAACCACTGTTGGAAAAGCTATCCAAAACAGCTTTAGGGCAGGTTTTTGGAAGTGCCTAAGTGACTTAAAACAAAGTTCTATTGACTTTAAATGGTAGTTGGGGCCCTATGCAACTTAGGCCTTTTTGAAAATCCCACCCATAATCTTTAAAATCATGACTCATGTGCCACAGCCAGTTTCTCTACATTTGCCTTCCATGCCTTAGTTCAGGGCTACTCAACATGTGGCCCGCAGGCTGCATGTGGCCCGCAGTGTGGTTTGGGCTTGCAGGGCTCAACACACGGCCTGCAGGTGAGATCCTTTGAACATGGCCTACACTGGGAAAACACTTCACAACAGCGAGTCAATATAATGTTCTTCTGTTGATATGTGTTTTAGTAGTTAAATTCCTGGACTGTCATTGCTCATTAAGAGTGCTGTCATATGGTGGAAATCGGATAATTATTGCATTTTATTAATATCAACAGAACTGACTTAAGGGGGCCTGTGCATTGTGTAGTCTTGCCTTAATCTTTGTATTCATTTCCATTAGTGTGAAAGAAGCTATTTGCATATATTTTCATGTACATGCAACCACACTTAAGCTGCAGCCCTCGGCATGTGCCGTGAGTATCAATGTGGCCCCCGGGGCTTCCAAAGTTGAGTAGCCCTGCCCTAGTTCATATGTGCATTTCTGCAATGATGCACTTAGACCCAGCACTAGCACCCCTAGTCCCCGTCCTGGGATAAACTGGGCATAAGACAAGCCATTCTGTTGGCAATACCACTGTTTAGCAGAGTTTTTCAAGTAAAACGGTATTCTCACCAGTCAGAAACACCAAGATGTCTCCTGCTGACTCATTCAAGTGGATATCCAGGGTCACTTTTACAGCCTGAAACAAGCAGCATTAACAGGATTATCTGCTGGAATTAGAACTTCTCTCATCACTGGCTGTATCAGAGAGTGTAAATCAATTCCCTCCTCCCTCTTTCCCCTATAAAAACTAGGAAACTTGAGAAAGCAGCCTTGCATGAAGTGTTTAACATTTCAAGCAGAGACAATGTTCTTTGAGAGCTTATCATCATTAGGGATGTTAGATCCCATTTTATTAGTTAACTGGTTAAACTTCATGTTTAACCAGTTAACTGACTAAATAGGGGTGGCCCTCCTCCCCCAAGACCCTCATTCCCTCCCCTCCAGCCACTTTCCGCCTAACGTGAGACTGACGATTCCCAATCCATGAGCTCATGTGGGCTGGGAGCCAGCAGCCCCACTCCCCCGCCAATTCCTCCCCCAAAAAGAGACTAACGACTCCCAGTCCACATGGACTGGAAGCTAGTAGCCCTGCAGGGCAGGAGCAGCTCTCCATCTGTGACAGGAGGGCTGCTCCCAGGTACTGATTAACCATTACCTGTGAAGCATCAACCATTAAGGGTGATGCTTACCAGCTAACCAGTTACAACAGAGAGAACATGGCAAACAGGCAAAGGAAAATAAGCAATACCTCTGTAACATAGGTAGAGCTTTCTGTATCCTTTGGGCCAAGCAAAGCACAAAATATCTCCTTAACAGGATAATTCCTTCCTGGAATGTCGACCACTGCACAACCTCCAAAGAACTCTGAAAGCTTGTCTACCTTCAGGGTGGCTGACATCACCACTACCTTCAGGGCTTTTCTTCTCTTGGGCGGCTTCTTCTGCTGGAACAGTCTCTTCAATAAGCCAAATAAAATGTCCTGAAAGCAAGGATCACTTCATCACTCAACTCTCCTGAATACACAGCAACACTTCCTACTAGAATACATGGGGAGGGGTTGAGTTTAATCACAGAGATGCTGGTAAACAGAACAAGATTAAACCATGTGCTTTGGAGGCACAACTGCTTAAATAGGTCTTTTCCTTCTTGGAAATATTCTGGTTGCTCTGTAAAGCTTAGCAACAAGATGCTTTGCAGGCTTAAAGAGACCCAAGTTTCTTTTCACAGCTCTGTAACTGCAAGCTGAAATCAACACAGCTAACACCACCTTGTTTTTCATTCCTAATTCTCTCTTCAGTTGCAAAAAAGCAACTGCTTTTAAAGTAGTGCCACTCCGTTAATAGTCTCTGATTTGTGCTGCATGCAGAGGTGGTCTCTCTTTCCTCAGTTATTATGCACAAAAAAAATCAACTAATGCAAAAAAACCAGAGACAGGTGTGGAAAGAAATCAGATCCCCAGGCTAACTGACAGAAGAATTTAACCTCCCCCCCCCGAACTACCCTTTCAGGAGAGGCTTAAAAAGTGTATATTGCTTTGGTTTAATGCCCTTGACTTAACGCAATGTTTAACAGAACACTGGGACTTAGAGTGATGGAACATAGCTATATCTTTTGCAACGATAACCACAGTTCTATCAATGAAAACATGGCTGTAACATTTTTATAAAGAAATATCAAAACCAGGTGTGCTACATGCTATGTGGGGCAGTAGCCAATGGCATGGTTTCAGCTAGCACAGAGGTTGGCAATAATTTTTGAAGGAGGGCCAGCTCCAGCCAATGGGAGCTGCAAGACTGTGCTGGGCACAGGGGCAGCACACAGAGGCCGGCAGCACACAGAGGCTGCCCCCACAGGACGCATTGTGCACAGAGAGCACATGACCTCCACTGCTGCTGACTTTGAGCGATGTGTCAAGGTGCAGAAGGCATGGAGCCTGAGGCTCGCGCTGGACTGCGGGGCAGGACAGATCATTAGATCTGGTCAGCGAGCTGTATTTTGCCTGCCCCAACCTAGCATTTGTTTCAGAAAAGTCTTCCATCTACTGTGTGCAATGCAACTTACTAGCAGCAGTCAAGCGGTCAGTTTTTCCAGCATGAAATGTTACTTTTTTGAACAAAACTGCAGCTAACAGCACCAGGAATAGTGCTGATGGGGGCTGTACACTGTTGCAAATTCACTAAATAGGAAGCCAGTTCATGCTGTGGTGAAGAGATCATGGGTTTCAGAGGAGAGCGTCAGTCCCAGCTCAAAGGCCCCAGGGACTGTGCAACAGCCAAAGGAAGGAATAAATAGATCACAACTGTGAGAAAGTGACCCAAACCGAACAGGCAAACACAGAAGCACTACAACCTCACGTGGGCAAACTGTAAATCTCAAGGCCTCCAAAGAGAAGAAAAAACTGCCTATGCAGCATAGACCATCTCTATCTGCATCTGACAAAGTGGGTCTCTGCCCATGAAAGCTTATGCTCCAATAAATCTGTTAGTCTATGCCACAGGACTCCTCGTGGCTTTTGCAGATCCAGACTCACATGGCTACCTGTCTGATACTTGACATCTCTATCTGGATGGTGCAGATAATGGGGACAACATGATGAATTATTAGAAGAATGTGCAAGGAATAAGGACTGCTGGGCTCTATTTTAACGTACGAGAGTCTAGATAAATCATTCACCATTCTAATCTTTCAATTGCACCTTTAAAATGGTGTTAAATCTCACAACGTCATGAGATTTAATTAGCATGTAAATCACTTTTAGAGCCTTAAAGGAAAGATGCCATCAAGGTGTAATGTATCACCTCTTTAGCCTCTTATAACTAAATGGAATTAACTGCTACTGGAACTAAAGGACCAACACAAGCCTCACCACTTTCCACTCCAAGTGCAAGGTGTGTTGCTTTCACCTTGCCTTCTCTCAGATGACAAGTTTTGGTAGTTTTTTGGGTTTTTTTAAGTACAAGACACTCCACCGCAAACACATCTCCCCTCCGGGGATGAATGGGAAAACAAATTAATGTGAGATGCTAGTCACATCACTTCATGCACTAAGATGATAAGCGCATTATAAGAACCCATATGGAACAGAACAGCAAGTTCCTTTTCCAGTGATACTGAACAATGCGTGTCAAATAAAAGAACACTCACTGTGCTTAAACTCCTCTCATGGGCTTCATCCAGTATGATGACACTGTATTTGGTAAGATGGAGGTCTGCCAGTATCTGTCTCAGTAAGCAGCCATCAGTCATATACTTGATTGCAGTACCCTGAATAGTTTAACCATCCATTCAGTTATTGCCCTAGATATGGATTGCATTATACACAGTCACACATCAGGAGTGACTCCGGACTGAAGCTGATCATTTACACTACTCAAGATTCAGTGAGAGACCTCACATGCTAATATTAATATGCTAAGCCACCGCTCCAAAACATACTTGCCAGGTTTTCTGAAACACTTCACAAATACACAATGTCCATTACTGAAAACATTTCTTAAGTGCTCTAAGTCCCAATCTGTGCAGTCTGTCATTTCTAAATTGAGGAGGTGATGCTGAAATCCCTGATGACAATCCAGTCATTCTAATGACAAAATCATAATCAAGGATCCACCAACCATATACATTCAGATTGTTTAAAAAAAAAAAAAAAACCAGCCTTCTGAGAATTTGTGGGTTCTGTGGCAACACTCCAGTTGTAATGTGCTATGGAAACATGCACAGCATATAAAATAGATTTGAACCACATTTCAGGCTGCTAAGGCAGCATCTCCACCAGAGATTCACAACAATGCACATACAGAATGCAATTAAAGGAGACTTCTTGAGTGGCAGAAAGTACTTTTAGATTTAAAGTAATCCACAAAGCAGAGTACATTTATATAGTGTGTATTGTTCATGTAGCTCAAGGACAGCCTCACTGAAAGGTACTGAGACTTAGCTTTACTTTATTTTACATAGGGACACCCAAGAAAGATCATATTGACAACTTACCAGGAATTCAAGGGCTGCGCCCGATTTGTATAAAATTGAACCTCTTCTAAAAGGGAGACATGCTTCAGACACTACAGGGCCCAGAATGCAATGATTGATCTTGCTTCATTAATAGATTTAAAAAAAATAAAACTAATAAATAATCTTCAACTCATACCTCAGAGGTGCAGTCATCAAAGCGAACCTGATATCCCACTGTGCTTCCTAGTGAAGAGTTCATCTCTTCAGCTACTCTCTGAGCCACAGACAAGGTAGCTACTCGGCGTGGCTGAGTCACACCAATCACTCCATGCTTTGCAAAGCCTACCAAGGGCAAGGAAATTGCTTCAACAATTAATTATGTTTGTGGTACGTAAACTGTTACGAATATATTTTTAAAGACTTCTTTGACTGATTCACTAATATTTCTCCCTCCTTACACACCCACACTCTAGTGACATTCAACACACATCTTTGTTCTAAGATGTTTTTAAAATATGTTTTCCTCAGTCTATTTTGCGAACAATTTTTTTTCGGGGGCGGGGGGAGGGAATGACTAGCATTTGTAGACCTCCTGGAAAAAGGGAGGGACAAGAAACAAGGACATTTCTTAAGTTTTAAAGAGCATATTAAGAGTGCTGTCTAATTGAAGGGTTTAGCACTTCATCAGGGCAACTAGCATCTTAAGGAGAAAATAAATAATTACCATCTTTAAATAGATACTGAGGAAGCTGAGTAGTTTTGCCACTCCCTGTCTCCCCAGTCACAATAAGAAATGAATTGTCTCTGACAGCTTGAACTAGTTTCTTCCTGTATCTGTGAATAGGGAGGGCTCTGAAGTCTGAATTTCCTTTGTCATTTTCCTTTGGGCAACTGCATTTTCTCTCCATTGGTGCAACAGTTTGAGAACTCTCCTGTGATGTAGAGAGAGATATAATTACACCTCCCAAGGTTATAATTACATGCACATCTGATATTCGTATCACAATATATAGTAAGCATTCTATATTGCACATTTGCATTAAACAAAGAAAAACAAGTTCTCTCTTGGAATAATCCTAATGGGATGAAATTCTGGTGGAGTTAGCTCAGGACATTCTCTAGACAGCTTCCCAAAGGTAGAATTCAGCTCCACTAAAGCACAAACCTGGGAGCCCCACCTGAGAGGTAACCCTCAACTCTTTAGTTAGGATGTCCAGGGCAAATGCTGAACTCCACTACACTGCACAAAATGGGGGATAAAATAGCCCCTGGCCAAACCTGGCAGCACACTGGAGAACGCAGCTGTACATGCACACTGTGTACATATACGGTATATCCCACTATCCCCCACGCCCCATTAACCAAGGAAGGGGTAGAGTAGAGGACATTGCAGTCACACACAGGCAGTAACCAGGAAAGGGAGGGGGCCACACAGGAGCCATGACACCCCCTCACTCAGTCCTGGCCCCTGGAAACCAGGGGAGGGAGGGGGCCACGCAGGAGCCATGACACCCCCTCACTCAGTCCCGCCCCCCAGTAACCAGGGGAGGGAGGGGGCCACGCAGGAGCCATGACACCCCCTCACTCAGTCCCGCCCCCCAGTAACCAGGGGAGGGAGGGGGCCACGCAGGAGCCATGACACCCCCTCACTCAGTCCCGCCCCCCAGTAACCAGGGGAGGGAGGGGGCCACGCAGGAGCCATGACACCCCCTCACTCAGTCCCGCCCCCCAGTAACCAGGGGAGGGAGGGGGCCACGCAGGAGCCATGACACCCCCTCACTCAGTCCCGCCCCCCAGTAACCAGGGGAGGGAGGGGGCCACGCAGGAGCCATGACACCCCCTCACTCAGTCCCGCCCCCCAGTAACCAGGGGAGGGAGGGGGCCACGCAGGAGCCATGACACCCCCTCACTCAGTCCCGCCCCCCAGTAACCAGGGGAGGGAGGGGGCCACGCAGGAGCCATGACACCCCCTCACTCAGTCCCGCCCCCCAGTAACCAGGGGAGGGAGGGGGCCACGCAGGAGCCATGACACCCCCTCACTCAGTCCCGCCCCCCAGTAACCAGGGGAGGGAGGGGGCCACGCAGGAGCCATGACACCCCCTCACTCAGTCCTGCCCCCCAGGCACCAGTGTTGGGAGGGGGCTGGGCAAGGACTCTCCCCCGATGACCATGGGGGGGGCGAACAGG